GCTCTAGGAGAAGACACTCACTTGTCTGTGCCAACTTCTGACAGCTGCAGGCCTCTCTTTATTTGAGGGGCAACAGAACTGTCTTTCCTCTGTCTCTGTGTCTCTGTCTTTTATAAAGTACAGCAACCACTCAGAATGAATTAGGACCCGTCCTGTTTCTTTATGACCTGATGCTGGCTGATAACCTTCAAAGACCCTATTGCCATGAGTTAGGACTTCAAGATAATTTGAGGAGACATAATGCAATAACACTTCTCAACCCCCCTATACACTCATTCACACAGAGATACACACTCTTATGAACAAACTTTAAAATAACCTTTAATGGAGCTGCTAGTACCTGGGTGAGATCCCATCACCTTCACAGTCCTAGGAAGCCTCTAGAAGAGATTTTTCTCTTTTTGATGCCTGAGAATCTAATGTTGGCTTCTTCCCAGGCTTAAAGAGCAATGAGAAGCCTCTTTCTATGAATAATACAAATTACCCACAAGAGTGTTGTTGATTGCCTTTGAGTTAAGCACAACTCTTAGTGACCCTTTGAACAAAAGGCCTGAAGCCTTTTATAACTATCGACATTTCTCAAAGTTCGTAGAGTTTCCGGGGGCATGATGTTTAGGAAGTGGATTCCACTCCTGCTTCCAACCCACAAGAGTATTATGATGCTTTTGCTCACATTGCATTATACTTTGGTATTACTCTTTGAGTTGTTGTTGAATGCTGTTGAGTCAGATCCGACCTGTAGCTGGCCCTCCAGCAGGTTTTCAGAGGCAGTAAATTGCATGAGAGGAGATTGTCCATCTTTTGCTCATGGAATTGCTGGTGGGTTTGAACCATGTGCCTTTGGGATTGCAACACAACTGCTTATTACTGGACCATCAGAGCTCCCAGATTTTTTAGTAACTTTGTTAAAAATTATCCGATGATCTTCTCTCACTACTCTAAAGGGCCCCTTTGGCAATAGGAAACACATAGACTATTGTGGAGATTGATTTTGGAATTTAGATGCACTGTTATCAGTTGTGCTTAGCCGTACATGTTCATATCCTTGAAGATGGATCATGGAACTGTTGCAGCCTAGAAGACACAAATTTAACTAACAAATTAAAAGTATGTAAGTCAAAAATTAAAAGCAGTAATTTCCAAGTAGAGGTTCTAACAGTGGCAAAAATTAAGTTACAGAGGGAAGGTAGTTCTTAGACAAAGTGCTAGTCAATAAGCCTTTTATTTTATTATAGTATAAAGGTTAGGAACCACAAGATGTAGAGGCTCATCTATGTCATTTATTGTTCTTAAGTCCTGGACCAAATTCCATCTACCACAGGGTTTTACAGCTCGGAAGTCTGCATGCAAGGCAGAGGTGAAGTAAGGAACTGCTTATGAGGTTTTCCGTCAATTCCAACAACTAAGAAATAGAAGAGTTGGTACCTCAGAAGGCTTTTAGGACCAAGTAGTAGGCTCTTGTGTCCAGGAGAAAACGAATATACTTACCAGTAATGTTAATACTCACCCACAGCTCTTCTGGGAGGATCTAAATCGTTGAAGCGTCCTCCTTTTGTTTCCATCTGGGGGCTGGGGCCTGTCAGTCCTGTCAGCCATGAGGACCTGATGTGGGCCAACCTTGGCCAAGTGTCCTTCTGATCCACACTTAAAACAAGTGAGTGGGAGCTTCCTCTCTACTCCCTTGCCTATGTGACACTGCCTACTTAAGTGGCCCAGTCTTCACCCTGAAACCTACAGCATCCCTTTTCAGCAGGAGGTAGCTAAGAGAATACGCTGTCCCCTTTTCCTTATGAATCAGGGTGAAGTCTCTCTCAGGGAGGAGTGATAGGGAATGGCAAAGGACACACTGACAAAGGAGATTAATCAGAACTGGCTTTGACAAGCACTGTGGCACTGGGACAATTAAACCAGACTTTCAAGGGGGGAGGAAAAAAAAGAGGAACGAACTGGGGGGAGGGTAGAGAAAATAGTGCAACAATGAATGAATGGAAATCCAAAATCTCTGTAAATGTTCATTAAAATTAATTAAACTTTTAAAAAAATTATCCGATGAAATGATGCTAAGAATTATGTTTCAAAGTACCATAATCAGTTTAAAGTTTTAATTTGGACTTTTACTTGTTTATATGTGTCTTTTCGAGAATCTATTGTCAGAGGCCTCTACAAAGTGCTTAAAAGCGATAATGTCTATTTAAAGACTAAGACCCACCTGATCCAAACCATGACAATTTCATGTCATGAAAATGACTTTCTATACATCCAAAAGTTAGACAATTAATGAGGATGACAGGATAAAGATGAATGCCTTTGAATGTCTTACTACTTGTCCTGGGCTCAAAGCCGGAAAAGGTGAGTCCACTGAGGCTAGCTGGAAGAAAGAAGAGAGCTTGTTCCAGAAGGAACTCTCTGAGGGATCATGAAAGATAGCTGAGGACAAAGAGTGAACAATCAACCACCTTTTTTCTAATGCAGGGGATTTTTAAAAAAAGAATGCCTTTGCATTGCCTTGTTGGACATGAGTACTGTTGGACATGGACTGCCAAAAAAATATGTCTGCCTTGGAGGAAGTACAACCAGGCTGCTCTTTAGAAGCAAGAATGGTAAAAATTCACCTCACATAATTTAGGTTTGTTGTCAGGAAGGACTGGTCTTTGGAAAAAGACATCATACTTGGTAAGAGAAAGAGAGGAAAACTCTCAACAAGATAGAGATTCACAGTGATTTTAACAATGACCTTGAGCATATCAGAGAGTATGAGGGTAGCACAGAATAGGGCAAGGTTAAGATCTGTTGTTCATACGGGCTCTATGAGTTGTCGTCAACTTGACAGTGCATAACAGTAAGAGCTGAGAAATATTTCTAGCCCATGTTTACCCTGGGCTCACAATTGGAGGAGTTTGTGGTGAATTATTTAGTCTTTCTTGCACTGGCAGCTTTCTGCTCTTGTCTTCCCTGTAGTAATCAATACTGTTGTCTCTCAAACACTATGCCCAGCCATGAATGGCCACTATAATCAGTTACCACAAACTGAGTTAGGACAATAGAAATCTATTCTTTCACAATTCTAAGACACCAGAAGTCTGAAATCAAAGGCTCAGCAGGACCATACTTTCCCTGTGGGTTCCCATGGAGACTTAACTGATTTCTCCATATTATGATAGCTGTTGGCATTCCTCACCCTCTGAACACATCGCTTCATTCTCTGTCTCAGTGGCCACATTTCTTCTCCCTCTTCCATGTGTCAGATCATTCTGTGCAGCTTTCCTACAAGGACACGTCTCACTGGGGTTAGGGCTCACCCATTTAAGCTAGGATAAATTCCTCCTCTTAAAATTCTTAATTACATCATTTGTCATTTACAGTAATATGCACAAAGTCCAAGGATTAGGACATGACTATAGATTTTGGGTGGCTTAGAGGTAAGAAGGTCCACTGCAATCTTGAAGGCACCCAATTCAAATCATCTCCATGGAAGAAGGATGGGTAATTTCCTCTCATACAATTAACTGTCTCAGAAAATCCACCAGAGAGTCAGCTATGGGTTTGTTCTGATTTAATAGCACACAACAACTACAACAGCTTTGGAAAGAGGTCACTCTGGTGGCTTAGCAGTAAGGAGCTGTCTTACCATCCCAAAGGTAGATGGTTCAAATCTTCCAGCTGTTCCATAAGAGAAAGATGAGCAGTCTCCTCCCATGCAGTTTACTGCCTCTGAAAGCCCACTGAGGGTTGAATCCGTTCTGACTTCATGTTACACAACAACCTTGGAAAGGAGCATCCTGCTGGGAAAGGTGGAAGGTCAAAGAAAGAGAGAAAGATCCTCAACAAGACGGACTGATACAGTGACAGTAACAGTCAGCTTGAGCGTGGTAGATATCGTGAGGAGGACACAGGAGAGGGCCAGGTTCAGACCTGTTGTCCATAGGGTCTCAGTGAGTCTCAGTTGACTGTAATGGTACCTAACAACAACAGCGTTTAGTCTGTTACACCTAGAGTAACGTTTTCCTTTTATCACCTCTCTGATCCGAAGAGGAGGAATTGTTGTTAAGTACCATTGAGTCAGAACCAACCCACAGCTGACCCTCTTCCAGGTTTTTAGAGGCAATACATTTCATGGAGAAGATTGTCAGTCTCTCTCCCATGACGCAGCTGGTGGCGTCGACCCGTGTGCCTGAGGGTTGTCAGTGCAACTTCTTAGCACTAGGCCACCAGAGCTCCCGCCAAAGATTAAGAGTTGTCGTTGGGCGCCTTCATGTTGGAACCAACTCAGAGGTGACCTTCCAGTGGGTTTTCAGAGGCAGTAAATCATATGGGAGGAGATTGCCCATCCTTCTCCCTTGGAACAGCTGGTAGATTTGATCTGCATGCTTTTGGGATGGTGGTGCAGCTTCTTACCACTGGGCCACCAGAGCTCTAAAAAAGTAGTTATTGTCGTCAGATACTGTTGAGTTGAGTAGGACTCATAGCGACCCTATGAACAACAGATCTGAACCCTGCCCTATCCTCTGCCATCCTCACGATCTCTGACACACCTAAACCCGTTACTGTAGTCATTGTAGAGTCCAGCACAGATATAGCCCCTTCCTAGGCTAAAACGCAATCACCCCAACACAACACCACATCTCAGCATAACACCCAACACAACATTCCAACACAGCTCCCCATCACAGCACCCCAAAACACTACCCTATCACAACTACTCAATCAACACTCCAAAACAGCACCCCACGTAACACCACACCCCATCACAACACCCACCAGCTGCTCTTCTGGTGAAAGATAGGCAGTGTCCTGTGCAGTTTAATGCCTCTGAAAACCCACTGGAGGGTCAGCTATGGTTTGGTTATGACTTGCCAATAATCAATAACAACAATAATAACAGGCTCAAAAGATTATATGCAAAAAAAATATAAGCAAGGCTACTTGCTTCATTTTGTTTGAAAATTCAGAAATCAAATGTAATGTAACCAAATGCCTTTTAAAACCTGTGTTTCTCCCAGTCAGGTACAACTGCCCTGTTCTTTGCTGCCCAGCAAGGCCACAATGACATCGTGCGATTTCTCTTTGAATTCGGAGCATCCACTGAATTTAGGACCAAAGTAAGAGAACCTTCTTGATTGATCTTAAAGAATTTCAGCTATCATGAGTATTTGTTTCTCTTCATATTTAACAGTAATTTTTTCTTCTCTTTTTGGAGGATTTTTATACCTACAAAAGTGGATTTTATAAGATTACTTGCTTAGGGGTTAATTATTTTCTCTCTGGGCTCACAATTGGGAAAATTCCTGGGGAATTACTTCAATTCTTGTGCACTAGTGTCTTTCTCCTCCCGGGGGAGGGGGGGTGCGGAGGAACACTACGTTTTTGTAACCAGGAGAGACCTAGTAGCAGGGATCTTTGTGACTGTCCTTTGTCCCATGTGCTGTTATGATGGGAATGGTGAAAAGTATTAAGGTAATTCTCATAGATGTGGTAGTTAGCTAATAAGGAAGATTGTCCGTCATGTGGTTTAATATTTTCTGACTAAATGATACAAAACAGTTAAATTTGTACAGTTGAACAAGAAATTATGGTTCTTCCTTTAAAGAAATTTGGGGTTTGTTTTGGTTTTTTCCTCAGTTTTGTCATTTGGGTCAGAAATCTAATACTACAGAAAGATCAATTTTTGTTGTGTTCTATGTGATTTCATGTGATGGTGAATTTATAGTAAGTTAACTTGAACTGATGTTAAGATTTTTGTAATTGTCAACTTTATGGCTTATCTAATCCTACTTTAAAAATTCCTGAAAAATCTTACCCAGTTGGAAATTTTTGGGTTTTCTTAATTCATCAGCATGTGATAGTTTGATATCAAGAGAGTTTGAATATTTTGGGGGTTTTTTTCCTATTAAAATGTTAGCTATTAAGTAGATTTGAATTTTAGAAAGGTTCCTGTCTTTTCTGAAGCCTGCTGTTGGGCAGTGTGTATTTCTCCAGACATACTCATTATAATATACCTACCCACTGCCTTCAAAGTACATCCTTACTCAAACAGCCATATAGAACAGAGTAGAAACTCCCCCCCCCCCACATTTTCTGAGGTTGTAAAGCTTTACTAATGCAGAGTACAGCATCTTTCTCTGGAGTACCTGGTGTATTAAAACCCAACCACTAAGGCTCCTTATACCATTTGGAGCAGATATAAAATATATACACATATATATCCTTCATATTATTATATGTTGTTTTTGTTGTTATGTGCTGTCAAGTTATGTCAACTCATAGTGACCCTATGCACAAAATACTTGAACCCTGTTCTATAACTAGTCATTTCTCTAAATCCATAGTTTCCAGAGGCATGTTGTTTAGGAAGTGGATGCCATCCCTGCTTCAAGCCTGTCTTAATCTGGGGACTCCACCAGACACTCTCCACCGTGGGTAACCATTATGGTGTTTGACACACCAGTAGCACAGCATTCAGCATCAGAGCAACCCCTAATTACCTCAGTATTGCAAATTGAGAGACCAATGCTGTATCACTTTGAAAAATGTTCTCCCAAACACAGTTAATACCATCTGACTTTAAAATACAAAGGCCAAAAAAAAAATAAAATAAAATACAAAGGCCCACCCATCAGGTCCTGATTGACTCTGAACAAGAAGCTTCCAGCACACAAATTCAGTCAGCGCGCGCACGCATACACACGCGATTATGAATGAAATAAAAAACAACTAAACAGTCTACACCCGACCATCAACCAAAACAAGAAAACCCACCTTCCAGAACATGAGCCTCCAAACTGGAGATGTGTGTGTGTGTGTAATCATTTAGTTTTCATTCCAAAAGTAATAAAACTCAAAGTAGAAAATAAAGTTGTAAGATCTCAGGGCCTATCAACTCTGTGAACTAAGTAAAAATGATCAGTGTGACCATATTGCTGCTTCGATCTTCTTGGTTACCAAGTTACTGCTGGCTTAAAACCTTTGTGCCTCAGCCAATTTACACTGTCCCAGAAATCCATGTAACAAGGGCCAGGATGGGAAAGTCCACATGTTTCCATTAGGTCAGCTTCAGATGTCTAAGAGCTTTCCATGGAAAAGGGGAGACTGAATATTAATAAGATCCTGTCAGTTGTTCTCATTTATTATTAAATATATCTCTCCCAAAACTGGGTTTATAAAATTAAAAAGTATCAGCGTGGCAGATTATCATGTTATCTACTCTGTGACCTCATTAGGCAGCGAGCTGGAAAATGAAAGAAGGAAACTTGGAAACAGTGGTATCTGTTTGGGACTGCTAAGCTGTTTTTTTGTTTTGTGTTTTTGTTTTTGTTTTGTTGTTTTTAAGCAGTTTCTTGATGCCCAACTCCTCCTCCCACCAGTCTGGCTTCTAGTCTCTCACCCCTCCATCCCCACCCTTCATGGCCCAGCTTCCCCACCACCAGGCTCAGCCCCAAGTGATGCCTCACCTAGCCACTGACATCTCCCCGGATTTCACCCACTGAGAACACAAGAGCTTCTCCCAGCAAGGCCAACTCATCACTTGCATGTAGTCACCACTCATGACTGGTCAAATAGCTTATGACTGAACCAATTGGCAGCATCAGGATGGATGGTGAAGATATTGAGATTGTTCACAGCTTTAGTTTGCTTGGCTCCATAGTCAGCACTGTCGGCACCAGTAGCCAGGAAATTTAAGGGCGTATTGCCACAGGAACGTCTGCTGTTAGGGACCTCTCCAAAGTACTGAAGAGCAGTGGTGTCTCTCTGGAGACTAAGGTGCATCTGATACAGGCCATGGTCTTTGCTATCACTTGTTATGCATCAGAGAGTTGGACAGTGACTAAGGAGGCTAGAAGGAGAATTGATGCCTTTGAGCTGTGGTGCTGGAGAAGAGTATTGAGGGTACCATGGACTACTAGGAAAACAAACAGATTCATCCTGGAAAGGGTTAAACTGGACGGCTCCCTGGAGGCAAGGATTCTGAGGCTCTGTCTAACATACTTTGGTCATGTTGTAAGGAGGGACAGGTCCTAGGAGAGGGACACCATGCTTGAGAGAGTGGAGGGACAGCGCAGGAGGGGAAGACCCTCTGTGAGGTGGATTGATTCAGTGACAGGGGTAATCGGGATGGGTATATCGGAGACAGTGCGATTGGCAGAGGACAGAGCAGAGTTTAGGGCTGTTGTATATATGGTCGCTATGAGTAGCAAGCGACTCGACGGCACATAACAACAACAACAACAGCACACTGACTGAATCAGACTTGATTAGAAAGTACACTCTTTTATATTGTGAAATGACATAAAACATGTTTTAAGCTGTATCTGAGGACCAGATTATGTTTTCTTTTAGTGTTTATAATTAGCTCAGAAGTCCACATAATAATTCACAGAACCAAACCAGGATCTCAGTCATCCTAAATGGGAAAAGATACTTCCTTTAGCTGTACCTGAGGAAAGCCATTAAGGGTTTTAGTTGACCACAAACTCAATGACTCAGAGTGTGGTGGTTGATATAAAAGCTAATTCTGACTGAGACCACATTAAAGGAGCGAGGATGGAACAAAGTAAAGTCGCATCCACATCAGACCACATCTCTTTTAAAGGCTGTGTTTAGTAACTAAACTTTGATTCCAGGCCCACACTTTGAAAGAGGCCTAGACAAACTGGCACACGTTCAAAGGCAGATGCTGAGTAGGATGGTGAGAGGCTAATGGAATGTGCTGTATTTACCCATGCTTTTAATAGATGCAGACCTTACCCTTGGGAGCCATAGTCCAGAGGGTTTCCCCACAGAAGCACCATCATCTAAGTGGCCTTACAGCTGAGCAGAACCACAGGGAAAAGCCCGTGTTTGTCAAGAGGGTTCTGACCAGAAACCACAGGAGGCTGTTCTATTCATTCCAAGATGGAACATTATAATTGGTTCTGACTTCCTATTCTTTGATTCCCTTTGTTGTTGTTGTTATATGTCATCCAATCAACTTCAACTCATGGCAACCCTCTGAACCATGGATCTAAATCCTTCTCTGTCTTGTGCCATCCTCGCCATCTCTAATATCCTGGGCCTGTTGTTACAGTGTCAATCCATCCTCTCCTCCATTGACCCTCTAAGACCTTTCTAGGCATGATGTCCTTCTGACAAGAACCGGCCCATCCTTTTACTGAGAAGCAAATGGGTGTTTTCTGCATTCAGCATCGGAAATTTTTTCATCAATTATTATAACATAGTCAGATAATTGTACTCTATCTCTTAAGTTATCCAAGTGCACACCTTAATAATGTTCTTAAGCTGAAATAAGTTATGTTTTTAAAATTAACTGTGCCGTGATTACAAAGTAGACAATATGAGAGAAGAATGTGCCTATTTTTAACAACAAGGAAATTGTCTTCTAAAGTCTTTGCTGCGTGAAGAGACTCTGCTTGGTTCCCGTGGCTCCCATTTGCTAATGTGTATTTTCATTCCGTGTTGACAGGAGGGAGGCACCGCTCTGCTGGCCGCCAGTCAGTACGGACACATGCAGGTGGTGGAGACGTTGCTGAAGCATGGAGCCAACATCCACGACCAGCTTTATGTGAGTGTCTCAGGGGCTCCTGGGTGGATGTTGTCTACTTTTCTCATCACAAATATCAGCAGTCTGAACTCTGATGCCGGAAGTGCTAGCTTCAGAAACAATATCATGATTAGTAAGACTTGAGGCTGAGACATCAAGAACAAAGAGAAAGTTGACCAGATGTGCCTTTTAGGTACAAAAACTAGAGAATCTTATTCACCAATCTCCAGCCTGCCTTTTAAAATGTATTATACAAAGGAGCCCTGGTAGTACAGTGGTTAAAACCTTCTGCTCTTAACTAAAATGTGTTGTGCAAATTAGATTTTTCATGTACTTCTTTGTGCAAAGGGACCCAGCTGCTGCCATGGTTAAAGTGCCCTGCTGCAAACTGAAAGGTCAGTGTATCTGACCTCCCCAGTGACCCATGGGAGCAAGATGTGGCAGTCAGCTTGCATTAAGCTTAGTGCCTTCGGAACCCTATGGAGTGCCTTTGCTGCATCCTGTTGAGCATCAGAATCAACTCCAGGGCACCGAGTTGGATTTTTAGTTTGGATACCATTATAATCTTCAAAACCCATAAGGTGCATACATGTTCATGAATGTCATATGTGCAGCCCAGCATGTGGACTTCCTGAAAACCAAAAGCAATTGTTCTCTTACATTTTGTGAGGAAGGACACAAAGAAGAGAAAGCAAGTATTGGGAAGAAAAGCGAGTTTGGCCAAGGAGGACTTGTGAAACCTTGCACACCCCGGGCCTTTGACAAGCATCCACCTCCAGGTCAGGCCTGCTTCCAGATAATTGGCAGTTTGCACTTGACCGAAGGGCTCTTTTAATTTGTTTGCCACTGTAATTATGTGGGGTTTATGGCCGATGATGTTCCTGTTTTGGAGGAGTAAAAAACTTGGGGCAGATGATGGAACTTGACAGCATTACGAAGAGTGGAATAATGTCTCCTTGCAGTTATCTGTGAGCCATGTGTTAGACGTGGTCCTTACTTCACTGTGTTTTATAGACAAATAATGAGATATGGAGGCGTGAACCTTTCCATAAACAATTTCTGCAGACTTTACCTGGTTAACAGTTCATGCCAACGCGTGGACTTCTTTGAAGTACCAGACAGCTAGCGAGCCTGTGTGCTTCAAAATCTGTCATACTCTTTGTTTACGCTTGTAGCTATTATTACTGAATGATTTAATTATTTGATAATACTCTGAAGGAGTGATTCTCAAATCTAGCTTTCATTTAGAGCCACCAGGATAACTTTAAAAATGTGTTAATTCTCAGGCCTGTTCAGACCTAGGGTCTCTGAGGTTTGAACTTGAAACACAAGTGATTCTGATATGTGGCCGGACCTAAGAATATCAAGTCAAAGGTTGGATATTCTTTAGCGATTTGATAAGTGTATTTGAGCGTAAGTGTAGACTAATAAGAAAAGTCAGAGTCTTTAGAAAAGGCAAATGAAGAGTGAATTCCATGCTATTACCATTAATAGACTTCAATACAATTGACTGTGGGTGTAGAATTTATACTTGTTAGATAATATTCTTACATAAGCCTGGTACTTTATCCTCGAAAGGGAGTGTTGTGGGAAATCCCATCGTTAGAGTAAATTCCTCTCTATTATAAGGTGAGGGAGCTCTTGTGGCCTAGTGACAAGAAGGTTTGCTGCAGTCTCAAGGGCATGCAGTTCGAGGCCACCATCTGCTTTATGGAAGAAAGATGGACAGTTTCCTCCCATGCAATTAACTGCCTCTCAAAACCCGCCATAGGGTCAGCTATGCATCAGTTCTGACTTCATGGTACACAACACACCATTATAAGGTGACTCAAGAATTTCCAAATACCATAGCTTCCATTGTTCATTGAGGCCTTTTCTCATATCCAAATAGCCCAAATGTTTCCATTAAAAACAATTGGAATAAAGGAGAAGTGGTCCTGGAAACTTCTAGGAACTGAAACTTGCTGTGCACAGAGCAAAGTCTAATGCATGGATAAGCCATTTCAAGACATTCCTGAGAATTATCAGTGGCTGAGGGCATAAAAGACCTTCTGCACCTAAGGAACTGCTGACATTTGGATCCATATATCACGCATCTGCTTACAAATCCATACAAGCTGATTCACTCTTTAATGATTCCCTTGAGGGTAGTCCGGCCCCTGACTGCCACCTACTGGAAAATCCGCATACCTCCATAGGACAGGCTTGGTTGGTCTTGCTGGGAAGGATGCCTTGTGGTTTATCTTGCCATTAACGTTCTGATGGGAAGTATGGTCATTACTGGGCTAACTAGTTGGTTTCCACTAGGGTGTGCTTGTGTTTTACAATGACATAAAAGTAATGAGGCCCACCATGTGTGTCCTCTGTGGGAAGGGACATCTGGGAGATCTGCTGTCAACCATCTAGAGAATTGGCTGGACTTAACCTCTGACACTTGGCAAACAGAAATGTCCAGAAGAGACAAACACCTCAGCTAAAAAGGAAACCAAAGAAGACTGGAACCGGACTCTTCACTGAGGTTGCTTGTTTGTGTCAGTAGGATTGGCAGGGTTAAACTTCATGGAGATTCTTACTAGAACTGGTTTGCTGAAAGCATTTTGTTTCAGTGTTGGAGAAGCAACATGTTGTTGAGGGAATTTGGGTAAGGAAGCCAAGAAAGATAAAGCATAGGAAAGGTCTAATTAAAAGGACGCTTTCCCTTTCTTTTCACAAAAGCAGTGCATTTGGGAAATCTTGGGTGTTTTTACTACTACTGAGCTTTTAATCAATCATCATCACCATCATCTCATTGCCACTAAATCAGTCCTGGCTCGTAGCTGACCCTACACCGGTTTTCTAAGACTGTTAATCACATAAGAGGAAACTGCCCATTCTTCTTCCATTGGAGCAGCTGATGGATTCGAACCACCTGAGAAGTACAGCCTTTGGGTTAGCACCCTAAGTCTATGGACTGTGCCATCAGAGCTCCTTCCTTAGTTGATAAAAGGATGGAAATCTGAGGAATTAGGAATGAGAAAGTGTGAGAAATGTGTGTGTTGTGTATACATGTAATCAAATTTCTTTTCAAATAAGCATAAACTAGTCTTTTTTTCCCCAACGACTTTTCTCTCCCTCAGGATGGAGCCACCGCACTCTTCCTAGCTGCCCAAGGTGGTTACTTGGATGTCATTCGATTGCTGTTGTCTTCAGGAGCAAAAGTCAACCAGCCAAGGCAGGTAATGGCAGTGCCTGCACCTGGCAGAACGCACGCGCGGGGATGCAGGGGGACCCACAGTCCCAGCCTGCGTGCACCTGTGCTAACCAGTTAGCTGCCCTTGTGCTTCTGTCGTGAAAAGTTAAACTTGTATTAGGGTTAGCCCTGCTCTTTCCTTTAGGCTCACCCAGAAGCCTGTGAAACCTACTGACCAGTCAGTCTTTACAACTCAGGTATTTGGTGTCAGAGGTCCAGGACACACACTGCCACCTCCTGGTCAGTTGGAGTATGACTTCGCTGAAGTAATGGGAGAAAGCTAGCCTGGGACATAGCAGCCAATTGCGTAGTCTTGACCCTGTCTAGTCCACTTTGTGGGATTGCCACCTCGTCTCTTACCTGCCCCCTCTCCACCAAGTCAGAGCACCCTTTGTCGCTGAAATCATTAATTGCTTTTGTACAGTTATAACATTGCTGAGCCTTCATTTACCAATATCAAGATAATATCTGGCAAACTGATGTTTAAAGGAGCAGAGCTGTAAGATAATACAGGCAGCACTTTATAAAGGGTAAAGAGCCATCTCAATGTGAGGCATTGTAATTATTAGGACCAGTACCAGTTATCTTAGAGTTGATGCTAACTCAGTGACCATGAACGACACCCAGGCCTGTTTACACACACTGATTGTTGTTGCATTGGAGCCAACTCACAGCTGAAGTCCCATTGGTTGCTGAGTCCATAAAACATGTGGCAGAAGCGTGCCCATTTTTCACCACAGAACTGCTGGTGAACTTGAACCGCCAGAGAGGCATAGCTTTTGAGTTATCCACGCAACTCCCTACAAACTCTGCCAGAACTTCCTAGTATTAAATATAGGACTATAAGTGGGTGCCTCTATGTTCACACAGTGAGTAGCTAGTAGATTATCAGCTACAGCTCGTATAGCAGCTCTTTGAACAACAGATTGAAATCTTGGGCTGCAGGCACCATAATACCCCTCTGAGCTCATGGCCATTAGCGTCTCTGGTCTTTAAAAACCTAAAGGCATACGGAAACTAAAGAGCCTTTGGATGTAATAGATTTGAGATCAAGAATCCTCAGTTCCAGATCCTGCTCTGCCAATACCTAGCTGTGTGGTTTGAGTGCTTAAGAAGCTCTGGGGGCATAGTTTAGGCAATGCTCACCGAAGACCATGGCTCTCTGAAGGTTCAAGTCCACCAGCCGCTCTGCGAAAGAAAGGAGGGCTGTCTCCTTCCTTTCCATTTATGGATTGGAAATCAAGGGGCGGCTGAGCTTTGAGTCATTTCCAAATTAACAGCAATGAGTTGAGTTACTGTTTAATGTGAAGGTCTCTATTGAAAGAGCCTCAGTGAACTTAGAAAAAGGAGGTGAGGAAAGAGTGGATAAAGAATGAACACAGCATTAGAACATATGAGAGGGGAGGCAGTTTTTGAGGGAACTTGTTGTCGTCCCAGATATGTAATAAAGTGCTTATATTATTGTTATATGCCATCGAGTTGCCTGTGACTCATAGCGACCTTATGTACAACAGCCCTAAATGCTGCTCTATCCTGTGCCAGTCTCACTGTCTCTGACACACCTACTCCCATTACCCCAGTCACTGAATCAATCCATCTCATAGATGGTCTTCCTCTCCTGCGCTGTCCCTCCATCCTCCCAAGCATGATGTCTCTCTCTAAGGACTGATCCCTTCCTTGCAACATGTCCAAAGTGAGTCAGATGAAGCTTCAGAATCCTTGCTTCCAAGGACCAGCCTGGTCTCACCCTCTCTAGGATGAACCTGTTCGTTCTTTTAGCAGTCCATGGTGTATTCAACACTATTCTCCAAATCAGAGCCAAAGGCATCAATTCTCGTTCTATCATCCCTAGTCGTTGTCCAGCTCTCTGATACATAGCAAGTGTAAAAAAATAAAAAATAAAAATAACATATGAGAGGAAGAACTGTCCAAAAGGAAAATATGATTATGCATTGTATGTATGAGAACAGTCTAAAACAAGGGGTGCATTGTGGGGTTGGCTGAGAGGAAGGGAGGAGAAAATTTGCAATAATTAATAAATAAAAGAAAAAGATGGATGGTGAAGAGATTGAGATTGTTCACAGCTTTAGTTTGCTTGGCTCCACAGTCAACACTCTCGGCACCTGTAACCAGGAAATTAAAAGACGTATTGCCATGGGAAAGTCTGCTGTTCAAAGTACTGAAAAGCAACAGTGTCTCTCTGGAGACTAAGGTGCGTCTGATACAGGCCATGGTCTTTGCTATCACTTGTTATGCATCAGAGAGTTGGACAGTGACTAAGGAGGCTAGAAGGAGAATTGATGCCTTTGAGCTGTGGTGCTGGAGAAGAGTATTGAGGGTACCATGGACTGCTAGGAAAACAAACAGATTCATCCTGGAAAGGGTTAAACTGGGCGGCTCCCTGGAGGCAAGGATTCTGAGGCTCTGTCTAACATATTTGGTCATGTTGTAAGGAGGGACAGGTCCTTGGAGAGGGACATCATGGTTGGTAGGGTGGAGGGACAGCACAGGAGGAGAAGGCCCTCTATGAGGTAGATTGATTCAGTGACTGGGGTAATCTGGATGGGCGTATCGGAGACAGTGTGATTGGCACAGGACAGAGCAGAGTTTAGGGCTGTTGTACATAGGGTCGCTATGAGTCGCGAACAACTCGACGGCACATAACAACAACAACAACAAACAAAAGAAAAAAGGGAAAAATTAAAAGAATATCCTAAATTTTAAAAAAAATAGGCAATGAGAAAGATTTTTTAGAGTATCAAGTCTCTATTGGTGCATCCTTCCTTTCAAAATTAATCTGGCCCTTTAGAGATCTGGTTGTAGAATATTTTGTATTTTTCATACTCCTAAGTGTGCTGAGTTTTTGAAAAGCAAGTTAATAGAAAAGATTCCATTTCACATGTCGCATGAATTGCGTCCACTCAATTCTAAAGTGAATCGGGATGGTGTTGAAAGCAAGAAGTTAAAGTGTAAACCATCCTTGCAGTGGTAGCCACAACACACCAAGGCATTTGTCATTCAAGAGTGAGAATCCTCTGGTCAAAGGGAATGGCCCCGTCCACATGACCCTCCCTCAAGGAGCAAGAAGTACATCCTTCCAAGGGTTTTATACAGTACCACTGTTTTCAATCAGAGGAGTCCAATTCTGAAAATACTACCATCCATCAAAAGGATATTTTATAAAGTAAGAATTATTGGGGGGTAAGCCAATACAATTTTTCTTTTTTCAGAATGTACTCCCTTAAATCATATTCATTTTTACTACCTGCTATGAACTTAAAATTAGGGAGCTCTGGTGGCCTAGTAGAAAGAAGTTGCAATGAAATCTCGAAGGCATGCAGTTTGAGGTCACCAGCGGCTCTGCAGGAGAAGGATGGGCAGTCTCCTCCCATGCAATTAACTGCCTCTGAAAACCCGCTGGATGGTCAACTATAGGTCAGTTCTGACTCTATGGTACATAACAATAACATGAACTTATAATTAAAAGCTGTTACCTACTCAAAGCAGATTAGCAGAATTGTTGTCTTCTTTGAAATATAAACCCTACAAATGCAATTCTATTCCAAGAAAACAAGTGGCTTTGTGTGGCAAAAATGTTATCTGTCCTCTGCACAATCTAGATGAATCTTGAAGTATGCTGAGTGACATATAAGTCGTTCACAAAAGGACAGTTATGGATAAGACCACTAATATAAAAAGTTAAGGAAATTTTATAAAACAAAGCATGGGAATGATTTTATGAAACACAATATGAATGAAGAATAGTGTGAAACACAATGTATACGAGCTTTGTGAGCAATCCAATATAAATGTTAAGAAACAACAAAAAAAAGTTAAGCAAAGGTAAGCTAAGGAGGGAGAGGGATAAAAATTAAATTGATAAGTTGGTTGAAAGATAAGGCAATATACAAGTTTGATTAGGCATTATACTAAATCACATTAATCAGTTGCACCTAGTGTTTTAAAACAAAACATCTATGAATGAATAAAAAACCAATTTATAAATTTATCACTGAAAAACTGACAGAGACCCTTTTTGTGGTAAGAAATTATAAGCATTAAATGAAGCCACATCCAGGCTTTGAAAAGACTTTAGTTGTTTTAAAGTTTGAAAAAGTTTTCATTATACGTTGTCCTGAGTAAAGAACTCAAGAGTCACAGGTGCCATTGAAATCCATAGTCCAAAACTCATTTTCATTTCTTCACATGTGCTCACTACTTAGAGTTGATGAACTGTAACCTCTGCTTCAGCAGAGTTTATTTGACCAGAATTATTTTTTTAACCTGTAGGTTTTTGTCACAAATTAATTTCTACATTTAAAAGTCTGTCCTTTCTCCATTCTGATTTTTGAAACTCTACCACCAAAAAAAGAGTTAAAACAGACTTGGTTTTCAGAATTTTCATTATAAAGTTGTTTTCTGAATGAAGACTCTAGCCATTGTGGTGAGATATTAATTGTTCATTCCTGGAAACCCTGTCTGCAGAGTAGGGGGTTTTCAAGACCTTGACCTTTTAGAAGCAGGTTACGAGGCCTGTCTTCTTAGGCACCCACTGCTCAATTTAAACTGCCACACTTTTGCCTAGTAATTGAGCCCTTAACCATTTGTAACTCCCTAGAGACCCTCTGGTCACCATCATAGAAGGAAGAACTAAGAGGACACCAAAATCAAGATGGACAGAAGGGGAGGAAAGCCTCTTCTGTTCACCTAATACATAATCAGCACGATTTGACAATTAGTACTCTTAACGCATTTCCCTGAGGTTCAAAAACCAGATTAGAGGCAGAACTCACCAGTAATAAGATACACACATTATCCCTCAAATTATCTTTTGTTATTATTATTAATTTTAATGAAAATTTACAGAGACTTTGGATTTCCATTCATTCATTGTTGCACATTTCTCCCTGCCCCCCCCGCCCCCCCAGTTCACTCTTCTCTTTGAAAAATAAAAGAAAAATTCTTTCATTGTTATACAATCCCTCC